CTAGATATAGATATATAGATATATATTTCCCCCTGCTTTGGTTTAAGAGACATCAAAATATCTCTCAAGACATCAAATCAAGTCCAGTGGCTATGTTCATAGTGGAAGTGAGGCTTGCTCACCCAGGATGAGGGTGACCCAGGTCATCTACTAACTAGGGGTTAGTGGTTCAATCCCTGGCCGCTCTACTCTGCATGCCAACTTATCCTTCGGGTAGACACTGGACCTCATTCATTGGAGTGTGAATCTTAGAAAGATAGCACTCGGGCAAAGAAGATTTATTGTATGAAAGTGCCTTGAGTGGTCAAGTAGAAAAGCACAATATAGGAACCAATTCATTACTGCTTTGTGAGTTTTACTCTTAGATTATGAGGCTATGACTTTAACACCTTCTAGCAATCCGTTGCCTGGATATATCTATATATAGATATAGATATATCTATATATAGATATAGATATATCTATATATAGATATAGATATATCTATATATAGATATAGATATATCTATATCTATATCTAGATATATAGATATAGATATATCTAGATATAGATATATAGATATATATTTCCCCCTGCTTTGGTTTAAGAGACATCAAAATATCTCTCAAGACATCAAATCAAGTCCAGTGGCTATGTTCATAGTGGAAGTGAGGCTTGCTCACCCAGGATGAGGGTGACCCAGGTCATCTACTAACTAGGGGTTAGTGGTTCAATCCCTGGCCGCTCTACTCTGCATGCCAACTTATCCTTCGGGTAGACACTGGACCTCATTCATTGGAGTGTGAATCTTAGAAAGATAGCACTCGGGCAAAGAAGATTTATTGTATGAAAGTGCCTTGAGTGGTCAAGTAGAAAAGCACAATATAGGAACCAATTCATTACTGCTTTGTGAGTTTTACTCTTAGATTATGAGGCTATGACTTTAACACCTTCTAGCAATCCGTTGCCTGCTGAACCTTTTTCTAACCTCTCAGCCTCTCTGTCTTCTCATCCCAGAAAATCACAATCTGTGGGAGCTGCTGAAATCTTTCCACTTAGTGTGGGAGACATGCCATTGTGCCTGCTATGCCCACTGACCTAATTCAGCTCAGTGCCTAATGTCATACCAGTGAAACTTGGTGTTAAACAATAAATATTTTCTACTGTAGGTTAAAAAACTGATGGGTTGACAAAGAAAATGTGATTGTTTCTCATTACAGAGCATGTTGAGGAGAAGATGAATATAGATTTTTAATCTGCAGCCAGATGCTGCTGTATATGATTGGATAGCTGTTGATCCTTGTGTACTTTTGTGTGTGTATGACTGCGTGCATGTGGAGATGTGTGTGGGTTAATAAAGCCTGTGGTGAAAATAGAATTGGGCGCTCGTTACTGTGTGATTGTCAGAGACTGAGATCTGCCCTACTGTCGATCCCAGGGCAGCTGCTGTTATACTCACACCAGTATTTTCTCTCTCTGCTTTTTTTTTAAATTTCCTGGTTTGTACATTTGGGTTTTTATCCTTTTATAGTGTCGTTTCAACCAGTTTCTTATATCTAGAAAAGTAAATACTTTTTTATAGTTATAGCTTTAATTTTCTTTTTTGAACATGTCACCTTCTTTATTTCAGTCCCTCTGTGTCCCAGCTGCAACATGTATTTAAATTCTGTCTTCATCTATACATTTCTATCTAGCTTTGTTTCTTTTTTTTTAATGATTAAGTTGATTTCTGAAAAGTAGATCAAGGTCATAGCACATATTGGTATGGCAGAGGGAGAAATGAGACAAAGCAAAATTCCTTTGTTTTCTTAGCCTTGCTATTTTTCTACAAGACAATGTGTTCCTGTCCAAGCCAAGAATTTAAGTGGCTCTGTGGCTCAAAGTTCATTATAAATCTAAGAGTCGTTTAATGAGAGCTTGCTGCTCTCTGGCTGAGTCGTTCAGGGTAACACGGTGGAAATAAAACCAGTATTATTCTGAATGAGACAGTGAAAGAAAGTTATACAGACACAGACAGAAGGAAAGGAAGAGAGTGGGTATAATGAAGGCAGAAAAGCTAAGAAATGTGATGGTGACATAGGAAATAATGAGGTACACCACCCAAACTGGATGTCTTGCCACGTCTTGGTGGGGAACTGGGCGGGTGGTTGGTTGAAGTTATCAGAGCGGCGCTGTCAGCTCTTCCTTACCCAGGGTTGCTTTGTGGACAGGAGAGCTGATTGAGTAGCTGTCTGAGTGGGGAGACTCTGCTGACTGTGAGCGATCCATCTCTGGGATGATGGGTAATAAATGACTCTGTGGGGGTCGCCTCGGGGCTGAAGGTGATTGACAGGGCAGCTACGTCTGTGCATTTTCCTTGTGCGTGTTTGTGTATATTTTGAACCTGGGTGTCTTGGGGTTTGGGGAAAATGGAGAGAGGAGAGAGTTCTGAGTTATTTTGTCGGAACTTTGAATTAGCACGGTGAAAATTTGAGATGTCTACCTCGAAGGTTTGATTTATGGAGAGTAAAGAAAATGTTTTGCTCTGTTTTTTGTTTTCAGTGGTGGAAACAAGCTTCTGTACTAATCTCAGTATCCCTGGTGAAAATGAGCACATCTAGCACATTACACTACGGTTTGTGCTCACACCCAACTAGGGAGACAGAGACACAGCTTGAAAGGTACAAGTCCAACTCAAAATCATTAAATTTTGCTGCCATGCAACTTTTAAAATGCTCAGAGCATCGCATCATCAGTTGTTGATAACAAAGCAAATAGCAAAATGTAGTGTCCCTCAGCTAAACCAATCATCTTTGCCCCACTGTTTCTCACTTTGCATACTAACTCATTCTACTGATGTGGCCTAGTCTGATTAGATGTGTAATTTTATTTTATCTTTTTAAGTCTGAAAATTAGAACTTAGAGAAAGTTTGGAAGTTTAAGGCTTCAGCCGTACAGGCCTAATGACCTGTTGGCTACCCCGTGGCAACCACTGGATGTTGGAAAAAAATGTTTGTCCACACACAATTTGCTGAGTGGTTGCTGGAGTTTGCTAGCAGTTGCTAGGTAAAAAAAAGGTCACAAAGAGGCTGCTACAATCCTCCTGATTGCTTTAGTTGCTAGCATATTGTCACAGTGGCTGTAGTTTACACAGAAGATCCCAGCTTATCTGCAAACACCCCCCGACTGCTTGTAAGGTGGTAGTTAAACTGAAAATTGTGACAAAAACTAGAAATGTCGCATGTACAGCGATGATTAACATCTATGTTTTTTTTATTAATTTATTTTAAATCCCAATTTTCTGTTACTTTCTTATACATTATGTTCATTTCATCATCCACCTGAGAATACAATGTTACGGTCTCCATTTGAATTTGTTTCATGTGCTACGGTCAACCTACATCTCCTGTATGTAACTTAACAGTCACCAGATTTGTATCCATGTTATTCGGTATTGAAAAGAAATATGTCTGCAGCATTGAGCATTAAAAGCAAATATTGAAAGCTTGCATTGATTCTTGACCTTGTTTACTTAACGTTGTAAACACACCTTAAGACTCATAATTTGATTAATTGTCATACAACAGAGACAATCTAACTACACAAAAGGTAAAAGCAATCAAACAAAGACTGATACACATTGCTGTGACGTGCTAATACAAGAAATACATTCCTTAGGTTTTTCTCTCATGATAGCATCACAATCCCGGACGTTTATCACGCTTACATGCTTCCTGCTGATTAAAATCAAAGTGTCAGTATACGTACCTGAAGGTATCCGAATATAAGGTACACGGCAACCATTAACTTTGTGTAGTTGTATACTGTGAAGCAGTATTTTGAAGTTGAACTCAAAGTCCTCACAGTCCTAAGATGAGATTGCATTACATCACAACCATGAAAGAACAGGTAAGATTTACAGTGACTAATTGTTGGTTTTGCTGGGAGAGGTTGCCATGTTAACGCACAGCCTTCAGGGTGTAGCAGTAATAATGTTCTCATATAATTTCTTTCTAATCGTGCTGTTCATTTATTCTTCAGTTACTGTGTGGGGAGCAAAGGAAATTAATGAGCTCATTATTCTCCTTTGTGTTTTTACAAAGCTCTCACTAAATTAGATAGATACATTATTAATATTGTCTCTTGAGTCCAAATCAATTAGGTGACTGCCTCAAAAAGGCGATTTTGTTGATTATCTAACTCTAACCCTTGTCTTTCGAGTTGTGCGCTGTGGGCAAAGTTTCCTGTGTTGTGGGCAAACTGTAAGATTATATGCTGAGATTCCGGGATTCCACAGTGACACATAATCATGTCATTTTGGCCCCGGGAGGAGCTGTTAGTATCAGGTTTGTCAGGTGAGCAAACAGGTGCAGGTCCTCTAACACCACTGGGAAAGGACAGGTGACTGTGCGTGTTTTGGTATAATGCAGGATTGGGCTTTTAAAGGGCTGGTTAGGGTGTGTATGTCTGTGTTTGTTGGCCACAAAGAGTAGTCTCAGTTGCGTGCGCGCACACACACACACGGCACTCCAGAAAACTGGGAGGGCAGGATTTATTTTGGTTTAAACACTGCTGTGTGGATGACTTTTACATTCAGTTGCTCTTTGGACTTTGGATATCTGACACGGAAAGATAGGACGCAAGGTAATGTATTTATGGCACTCTTGGCTGTTTGTGTGTTCCTTTATATTCTAAGTATTTGTTTTAGTAATGGCTTGAACACTGTTGTGTGATATAATTAGACTGAATGAATTTGCTTACATATTTTCCTGTGTACTCATGCGAGGCTTGTGAGATTTTAATTAAGGAAAAAAAAACCTGAGTGTCAGCTCCTCACTCGCTCTGCTGTGTTGTCAAGTTTCTTTCGGTGTTAAGCAGTTTGACATGAGGGCCAGGTTTGGCTCTCAGGTAACCATAGCTACACTGAGTTTCCATAGGCACCGGCTCTTATGCCTCTGTCTTGCACTGTTGTTTATTTTTCCCAGCAAAGACCACAGCCAGTCTTGGGTCAAAGTGTTCTTCATCAGGCAGTTATTTGGCTGAAGGACTTTTCCTCTGACTCAGCCCGCAAGTCATCTTTGATTTAGAGATGGCATTAGCTGAAACCACTGTGAAGGGCCTGCAGTTTTTCTTTTGCCAGGGACCGGATGCAAAGATAGTCTAACTAAATTCAAAATCTACCTACTGTAGGCACTGATCTGCAGTCCTCAGTGTGGAAAACGTGTTCTCCATCTATTGTACGGAGCTGAGGGAGCTGTTTGCTTTGTTCCCCCTGCCCTGCTCTTATTCCACTGGTGCAAAGATGGTGGGAACACCTGCAGTGTGCCACATGAGGCAGACAGCATAACAGGACTCATTACTGACAGAATTTTTTTCCTTCCACTGCCTGAAGCGCAGCTGAAAAACACCAAATTAGATGTGCCAAGGCTCTTGTGGGGGCTCGGTGCAATTTTAGGCTGTAATCCGGTCGAGTAAAAGTTGGTGTGACTTGATCGAATCCATGAGCCTGAAGGAACAGAGCTGTGTGGCTGTAGTTTGCATAGCTATTATCATAATCTACTCTGGGGCTGCACTTTTTGTCCCCCTTCCGATAATAATGGCGCAAAAAAGGCTGTTGTGGTATGTTCAAATGAAACCTCGTAGAGTGCATATGGTACAGACAAATGCACGCTCGCAAACAATAGCAGTGCAAACACTCTGTTTCTTCTCTCTTGACTGGACTTCAAAGAGTTGGCATTCATAGCATATCTTTGTCAAAATGTAATGGAAATATGTGTGTATGTGTGATAACATTACCACCTCGTCCTTTAAAGATTTTTTGCATCGTGTATTTTGCATTTTGAAGTTTTAAAGGCAAATTGATGATCCCGATGGATTTGTGAAAGTGTAAAGGAAACATTTTGCTCTTCACATCTAACAAAAGGCCAAAAGCGACCTGACAGTTAACAGTTAACTATATGTAAATGTAAAAATACATGCCTATATAGCTAAAGCCACACAGAGCACCACAGAACTCAAACCATGTCGATGTGGCACCCAAATACATTGCTCTTGTGGCTTAAAAATGCACAAAAACCTGCAGCTGAAGTAACCATAGTGCTAAACACGCACAGGGCCCAGCTATTTTAGAAATATTTGTGACTTTTTTTTTTTAAATATAAAACTTCAGATGAAATCCTTCCATTTTTGATTTGATTGACTTTGTTGAGATAAACAAAAACTGATAACATTGAGGGTCTTGGAAGTCACTTAGCTGCTTTAAAAAGTGCACAATGTATGTCCAGTCAGCATCTACAGAAAATTAGATTTATCCAGTCAGTTACAGGTCTGAGAGTGTGAAGAGAAACCAATTTGCAGGCTCTGCAGCTCTCTGCTGCCTTAGGCCTTGTATTAGGATTGATGCTGCAGAGTTTCTTTTGGCCCCAATGCTATCTGTCCGAGGGCGACGCCGTGGAGCACACCAACCTCAAGGTCATTCACCCGCAGTAGTCACCACGCACCACTGCATCGCTGTCGCAGGATTATTCCTTGTGTTTAAATATGTGTTATTATATTGATCAATACCTAAGATTGTCTTTCTTCTTTTCCTCTATATATAGATCTCCCTGCCTCCCCTCTGCAGTACCAGTGTGGATCAGTGGACTACCTGTGTTCTCCAAGGCTCATAAAGAAAGGTCCGACCCCCAGACCATGTCACGACAAGCCTCCAATCAAACCGCGGCCTCAGCCCCCCACCTCGCCCAGAACACTAACCGCTCAGAAACCTCAAGGTAAAAATCCAGTGACACACCACAGCCCCTTGAAGGCCAGTTTTGACATCGGTGCTGTCATTATAATTGAAAGGTGCTGCAAGGTTGGACCCCTGCTATCGAGCCGTGATTTATTCTGCTCTGACAAAACACTTTTCTATAACATGGGACGCGTCAGCTGCCTGACCTCACTCTGCCACTCACTGTGCTCAGTAGGTCACCTCTGCAAGAGCTGCTGCTGCTGCTGTAAAGCAGGGCAGTGTCTCCCAAGTGTTTGTGATCGGGCACCATTTGAAGAATGCTAAATATGAACATGTGTTGTGTTTAGGGAGTCGCTGGGAAACATACTAGGACACACCACAGACCTGTCCCCGATTTTAAACATGCTCTGAACTATTCAAAGTTTTGGCAAGAGAAATTCCTGCTGATCATTTAAAATTGATCATTTGATTAGCATTTTTATCAGGAAAGATTTCTGATCAAGGAAAAAACAAGGTTTTAAAAAGCGCCACAGCCGCCCTTTAGAATAGCTTTGATATTTCAAGATCCTCTCATTTTTCATGAATTGATACTGGTGGTAAAGATCATTGGCTGAAAATGGCTGAACTTGGACTGCAGTGCTGAAAACAGTCACACACAGCTCAGAGGTTCATGGGTTAGCACCAGATTTGCTGGCTAGGAGTTTCAAACCTGTTTACATTTCATATTCTTGCTTTAAAGCTGTTTGAAATCAAATATCAGTTAGCTGATGAAGAGTCAGTAAAAACATATTATTCCATTGCAATAAAATCATCTGTGGCCTTTTGCTTTCTTACTTGTCTGCACATAAAAGTGTAAATATAATACATGTTTTGTTTTTTTTTTAAATGCAAGCAATATTAAAGAGGTTTAGCAAATAGAACTAGTCATACTGTGCTTTGACTGTCATTCGCCTGACTTATGAGCTACTTGGGCACAATTACAGTTTCTGGTACTCTATTTGAATGCATACTGTACTTCCCACCTGACAGGATGAACTTCCTCACTGACATCTCCGAGCTAATCCGACGGGAGGGAGAATTGAATTGAAAGGGAAGTCGTAATTCTGTTTTTGAGCAGAGAAGAATCTAAAACTGGACGTAGATCTCTCTGGCCTAAAAGCTTTGGTGGTGCAGAACATGCTGAATCACTTAACTGATGAATTATATGGCAGAAGCAAGTAGCACTTTCCCTTTTTTCTTTTTTCGCCCTTTTTTTATTGGATTGCTCTTTACAAACGTTGTGTTTTTTTGCAGCTACAGTGAACAACATTAATAATAATGGTTTAAAATAATGAATCAGTTAAACTATTAATTAAAAAATTAATTTGCAAACATTCATTAATTTACAGTTTAAACTGTTTGTCCAACTGTTTGTTGGTGATGCTGTATCCTCTGTTTCCCACTCATACATAAAATGCTTACTCCTTACTTTTATTTAACATACTCAATATTGGCTGAAAAAGAAGTATATAAAGTAAAGTTGTTGCCTTTCTGATGAACTGATGAAACTGAAACATCTTTATATGTTATCATCCTCAGGAGACAGCTCACCGCACATAAACACATGCACTGTTACTACTGCATAAAGAAAAGTCTGCTCCTTTCTAATCAGCAGTGGCCCACACAGATGGAGGAAGTGCTGAAATTAACAACTGTAACATATCAGCACATTTCCTGGTTTCTGACAAAAATGCTTCCTAAAATGAAATGTATGAAAAAAAAATTCAGATATGTCAGTAAAGTTGGCCTATAATGTAAGTGTTTATTAAGTGTAGCATATATTTTTAAGAGAGCACTGTCATTTTTGCACTTGCTTTTTTTTTTATTCTTCTTTTCTCATCTTTCTTGAGCCACAATGGCTTACGCACATGCTCTCAGCATCCTGTTCAGAAACAAGGAAGTTGCAGATCGCTGACGCTCAGAGTTGATTTCGTCCTGCTCCACTGCGCTGCTACGTTTCTCTGTCTCTTCTGACTTTTTTTTTTTTTGTATTTTCTGTGTTTTATCTCAAGTTTTTACTAAGTGAACCAGCGACACAGCTATGGAGGTTTTCTCCCTTGGATTTATTCCTGTTACCTGATTGCTTTTGTTCTTGTCTGGAGCCTCATGCTTCTCTTTTGCTCTGCTTTTCTTGATTTGTCTGGACTCGCGCATCTGTAGTGCCCCCTAAACCTGCGCACCTGCTCGCCCTTGGGCAAGACAAGAAACCTAAGAGGATCCCACCAGCACCCTCCAGGCCTCTGCCAGCACCCCCTCTTCCACCTAAACCAAAGCCTACGCTAACCCCTCCTGGCCAGGGAGCACAGCCGCAGAGAGAGGCACAGAAAGTTGGGCTGCTGATTGAGAGGTTTGAAAATTCAAGGTAAGCTGAGAAATGTAGACGGATTTAGACTGAGACCGGTTAGTTTGGCAGATTTATCGTTTGTCTTCTAAAAGAAGTTTCAGGTTAGCCTTTTTTTTTGTAGCAGTTTAAGATGTGGGCTGGTTTTTCAGTGAGACGTAGATACAAGGAAACAAGAAATTAAAGTTTTGCTGTGCAGCCCCAAGTATTGATCCTTGATGTAATACACATCTGTAAAGGTGATGTGATACTAAGTTTTTCTTTGTTTTTATTTTTCCAGGGTCCCCATCCTTGGGGTGCTTCCACGCTCACAGCTGCAGCTGTGTCTGAGAATGGACAGTGCACCAGATATCACTTCCTGCAGCCAGGACACCACGGCAAAGGTTGCAGGAGACTCCTTCCCTGTGGATAAACCTGCGCTTGGCAACTTTGAACGGACTGACGACGAGACTGATCTCTCGCGTCTGGCTTCCATGCGCATCGACGGCACCGGTGATCCTGTGATGGATAGCTGTGCAGTGAATGACATCACACAGAACGATGGCTGCCTCAATGACGTGGGACGGGATGAAGGTTCATCCCACAAACTTCTGGACAATCCGGACTCCTCAGAGCAGAACGGGAAGATTCCCAACCGGGACAGTGGCATTGACAGCCCGTCGTGCACCGTGGAAGGGGAGGTGTTCCCTAATGAGGATGTCATTGACGAGGAGGATAATTACGACAGCGTCACTGAGACAGAGAGTGTGTCCTGCTGCGTTACACTGGACAACAAGCGAGACTCAACGCAGGATGAGGACAGTGACTTAGATGAGGGGAGCAGTGGGGAGATACACTCTCTGACAGACACACAGATTGGGTATCTCACAGATACACACTCGGAGGCGCAGAAAGTGAGTATCTCCCTCGCTCACCATCAGCAGGTCATAAGCACACATACCAAAGACCGTAACTTTAAGTCTGAATACAGACACCGGCTTGCTACAGCCTCCACCGTTCAGTTCAGGTGATGTGTGGTAATTTTGAGGAATTCTGATAGCTTGTTGAAATCGAAGCACACATCCCGCGAGTTTAAAAGCTTCATCTCAGCCTGCCGTTTGTGTAATGGAAAAAAGTAGCGTGTGTCTATAATTATCTGAGCCTGGGTGAACACTTTCAAAGAATACTTCTGCATGAAACGTTAGACGCTATTACAGCCTCAGTTTGCCAGTCACAAATGACTTGAGCTGTAGCTAAAAGGGACTCTTGTGTTACATATTTAAAAAAAGCTGAATAGCTGCCCAAGAGCAGTAACAAAAGCATGTTTTGATTGCCAGATCAAAGACTGCACAGACAGAGTGTTCCTACAGTTGATCTAAAATTTCAGCTTTCTCCTCTTCTTCACTTGTGTCACAGTACAGTATCGATTGTAAACAACACAGTTACCTCAGATAGTTCTCATACCCTTCCTTGTAGTCTAAATGTGTGGTCAGTGCTTCCTGTTCTATCCAGCAGCTTGTGAAAGTATCATAGTACAACAATATCACAGACATGAAATATACTAATATTGGAAAAGAAGAAGTGATCGTGAAGGTGATGACAGACGAAGCTGTCCAATGACTCCTACTCGGGCTAAATCCGGAAATGTTAGACATTAGGAACCGATAGGAGTGTTTTAAGACAGTAGATTTATGTGGCATTGCACTCATGAATGTCAGCAGTAGTTGTTCCCCTCAGCTGTTGTCAGTACTGTAAAACATGAACTATCTGCCCACACCCGCAGCCTTTTGGGGAAAAGGTATCTGTGCTCTTCAGCGCTTCCTGATCCCAGCATCGCTGTGCAGAGGAAGGGTGTGTTGATCTATGTGTGTGCATGTGTGGTTGTTAGCCTTTCTGTGTCTACATGAATGTGTCTTAACAGCACAGCTGACATGTTGATGGCTCTATAATGACAACCTTTTGACAGAGGATGTGGTTTTTTTTTAGTGATGTGAGGTGCAAGAGTGACTGAAAACAAGTTCTGCTGACTTTGTGTGCCCTCTTCTTTGCACACAATGAAAACTGAGTTTCACTTTTGTTCACATAGTAATATTTGGCATTGTTAGATTTCCTTACAAAGCATAATCTCTGGTGAGTTTTCCCCTGCCATCTGTGCCAGGGTAAGAGTACAGAGGAGTGACATATTAATGGAAAAACCCAAGCTGAATTATCTTAGTGAGATCTTAGGTCATCAAAACAACTTCAGTGCACACTGGTATTGATTCTCCATGTCTCTGGAGCTCAGCTGGAAGGATGGAGCTGCTCTGATGGTGACTGTGAAGGACATACCACATGTGCAACATCATTTTTATACTAACCGATTCAGTATTCCTTCCTGCTTTATGAGTAGGAGTATTTTCATCCATCAGCGAGAACAAAGCTTTAAGATCCCTTTACTGCAGGGTCAAGGTTTCAGGTTTTTTTGCACAGTCACAATCTGGGAGGCAAAAAACGACTCCCCATAGCACAAATTCTATAATTTTTACATCAAGACTTGGTTAAGCTCAGGTTTGGGTTCGGCTTAAATGAATGTGATGCTGCTTGTTTTAATTTGAAGACAGCTATTGCAAAACCCGCATTGTCGCAATAGGCTAAGTGTTTTGTGACCTCAGTGTGCGTTGAACCAGTGATACAAGGATGAACTACTGCAGTGTTTTTATGTCATTTCATCTCATCAAGTCAAAGCGAAAGAGAGAGGAAACCGGGCTCTTCAATTTCACCGCAGCAGCTATTAGCACATCTCATAATTTACTGCTGTTGAACTAAACCAGTGACTAAAATAACACATTCTGAATGTCAGTTTACAGTAATCTGCTGCAGACGCTGCTGATAGTTGCCTCAGCCACAAGCATAAATATTTTGGGCTTTTACATAAGTCCAAGATCCCCTTCAGACACTTCTGTTTTTCCTACAAGCATTGCTGCTACTTCTCATCAAGCCAGCCATGAGCTCTATCTGTTGATGCTTCAAAGGCTGTAGGGGTGCTGCAACAGCTCCAGCAGGAACTGGGTGTGAGGTGGGTTACACCCTCACCGGTCATCACAGGGGTGACACATGGTGAGACAAACACGGGGTTTGAGTTTCCGTATCGCCTAGTAGTGTTTTGAACGTTGGGACGTAAGCGGCAGTGATGTGACAAAATAATCGTGTATGTACATGTCGCGAATTGATACTAAAGGTGAGCACAAAGGAAGTTTCTCCCTTTACCACATGGATGTGAAAATGGAATCCTAGTGTCACACTCACGTGAGGTTAAACTTTAAATGAAGAAGTAACACAGATATTTGAATTTTAAGGAACTCAATAATTGGTCTCTCTCTGCCACACAGTTTGGTTATAAAGCCGATGCACGTGTTTGTGTGCTAAAAAGAGAGCAGCTATCCCATGCTAGTGGTTTCATACAAAAAGCACAGTGAATAACTGCGGGGTAAAAATGAATAAATAAATACAACTATATATTACAAATGTTGTTTAGTGTTTACAGAAAGTGTAACTTAAAGGTTATTCAGGTAGGAAGTAGTAACAGTGGTTACTTTAACACTGAATAAAAATGCTTCTGTGGCAGTAGCTGTGCTGTGTAACCTGTTGGGTGGCTGTGGTGAATTATATCACATTATATTGCAAAGATCAATATAGATAATGATCTTTGAACGTACGTTTTTGTCACATGATTATTTATAACTTAAAGCACAAGGTGTCAGCTTTCTGTCACCTCTGACTACTGTCTGAAAACTTCTCAAATATGGTGGAGTTGGCGTGTATGTTTGTCTTCTTTTGCCTTAGATGTAATCTTTTGCTGCTTTTCTGTTTCCCCTCAGTGCTCAGAAGCTCAGAAACTCCTGAATATTGCCAAAGAGCTTCTCCAAACTGAAGAGGCCTACGTGAAACGACTCAATCTCCTCGACCAGGTATCGCTTTCCTTTCGTATGTGTCTCTTTATCTGTTACTGGCTTTGTGCGAGGTTTTTCTTGTATCCGGTTCAATTTTCTGTTGCCTAGTAGTGCTAGTGTTGCTAGCGATTGAGATTACAGCTAATCTGGATTAATGCTGGGATTGAGATCCACTATACACCAACCCTCTGCTGGCTTGATTACTTAGAGCGCTCTAAGTGCTATCTTGTAAGATGTAATGCACCTCTGTTTGTGTGCATGTGGACTATATTTATGAATGTCCAACATAAAGAGTGCTTCGTCACCGCAAGCCTGAGTGTGCATCGTGTGTGTGTTTGTTAAAGGAGGCACGTAGGTTGTCGTGTGTTGCAAACCACGCAGTGATCTATATTTCTGTCTAAATTCTGTGAACAGAGTGTGTGTTTCCTGACCCTTGGCTCTATTTATGACTAGACAGCTATTTTTTGATATAGCTGTCTACCCTTGGTCGTTTAAAAAAATCATATTTTGTATCTACCAGTGAATATAGTTTGCGTTCTTTCAGAGAAAACATTTAGAACTTCAGAAGAGACTTTTGATAAATCGCGCTGTTAAAAAAAAAAAAAGGATGTGAACTCAGTGATCTTACTTACTTACTTGACTTCTGCCCAGCTTCCAATTTTACAAGGTTATTTTCTAGATGAATCTATTGGACAATCTCCTCTATAAAATAAGCCTTTGTGCCAGTTTGCACTGGCCACTCTAAAACCCAGAGATGCTCACTTTAACGTAACTTAAAATAATGAAGTGAAAGGACCTCAGGAACACAAATTACTTGGCTGATGTTCAGTCGCAAACCAGTCATTGCGGCTCTTAATTTTTATCACCCAGTTAGACCTCACACTCTTGGCTTCTTTGTGTAAGGTTAAAGTTTGACTGCCTTTTTGCCTGTACCTGCAGTTTTTTCTCTACCTGCAGCGTGGTGTCGCGTTTATGACGAGTGCTCACTGCCAGTGGTTAAGTCGCCTTCCTCTTTGTTGAGCTCATGTGGTAGAGTTGACGATCTCTGCCCTATTACAGAGCAGCTATGGTTTATTTGTTGCTGAAGGCAGAACGCTTTTATGGTTAACTTCCTGTTTTTGTCTTACAACTTTCACATGAAACTTGTTTCCGTGGATACATCAGTGCATACCGGTTACTGCGATTGTCAAGGAAGCAAAACTGGATGCAGTGATTTGGACTTTATTACAAGCGTCATGGCAAATGATGTGCTCGATTATTAAGCTGAACCTGCACATAAAGAATCTGTTGCTGATGCTCCCCCAGTGAAATCAGTCGATCTGTAATAGTGCTTAATTGGACAGAAACATTTTTAAGCCAACAGTATTGATAGTCAATTATTGATTCGTCAGTCACTGAGTGTCACATTTCCACAAAGTTTAAAAACACACAAGAGAATAAGCGCAATATAGATATCCTGAGATTTTGCATGCAGTTGCCTGCTGGCACTCCCACATCAGCTTCACTTCTCAAACCTGGAAGTTTACGGCGCGTGTCTATGTACAACCAACAGTCCACCTCCCCAACCTTTGAATACTACATTCCTCATTATGCATTCTATGACATCATTCATTAGACCTTTTGTTCCTTATTTCTTCTTCTTCCTTCTACATACTAAACATTTAAATACCCACAAACCCACCGCATTAACAGCCGTTTACCTTGGCCTACTAAATCATCTTCAGCGAGTTGGTGCTCCAGGCGTGAAAAAGCATCAGTAAAGTTTAGATTATATAGTATAGTTTATCTGGTTTTTAGCAGATCTGCAGAAAAGTAATCTTAGCTTGATGTCATTCACACTTAGATATACATATGACAACACGGACATTTTTCTGCCTGAGCTTACATACCTGTTACTTAAACAGAGCCGAGCTGAGTCGAGTTGTGTTCTTAGCGTGAGTTTTTATATACAAATATCTTCTCTGCAGGTATTTTGCACAAAGCTCACCGAGGCTGGAATCCCTCAGGACGTCATTACTGGGATCTTCTCCAACATCTCTTCTATCTACTGCTTTCACGATAAGTTCCTGCTCCCTGAGCTCAAGACACGGATTACTGATGAATGGTGAGGACTAAACACTCGGCATTTTGGTGGCTTTCCTAAAGTATCTGTGTGAAGAGATGAGCCGTTGGGGGGTCATTATTGTCAGGTTTTCAGCGGTGTCTGATTTTAGCTTGTGTGTATTTATGCGTCTCATAAAGACTTACAGGTTGAGGGTATTTTTTTTCTCCTTTTTTCCCACAATAAGCAGGAAATCTGCTTCCCGTCTGTGATATTATGCCAACATCAGCCACCCTTGGTAGATAATGACTCCTCTGGAGACCTGTCACATAATGGCTCCCCTCACATTAACTCATTAAAATTTATTGGCTGAAATAAACTTGAAAAAAACAAACAAAACAAAGGACATCAAGTCAGAAAAGTGCACCTTAGGAAGAAAATTCATAAGGAGGATTAATTTCTGTAATGCCCCAATAAAATTCTTGAGATTACTCTCATTAGTTATGAGCCTTTGTTTGTGTCTCTTTATGAGTGATGTAATTGCCCCCAGTATTATAGTATTTATGCTTGTGCAGCCTCTCTTGGTTCTAACATGGATCTGTGAAATGAATCTGCTAAAGCAACCCTTTAATTACCTCCTCCCTGCTTTAGTAGGAAACTGTGTGATCTTTTTCCCAATAGGCTTTGGGAATTTTCCCTCAAAGCTGCAACTTGATGCATTTGCATCTGTAGAGCTGTCTATACATTTGCATGAAGAAGTAACTAATCTGCATTTAATTAAAACACTGCAACAATCTTTTGATATAAACCTTGGCGTGGAAATTTGTTTTGGAATCATCCGTTTGTTTGCACGTTCTTGCTTTAGGGAAAACAAACCACGCATCGGAGACATCCTCCAGAAACTGGCTCCATTCATGAAGATGTATGGAGAGTATGTGAAGAACTTTGACCGGGCCATGGACTTGGTCAACACCTGGACGCAGCGATCGTCACAATTTAAGAGTGTCGTTCAGAATATACAGGTTTCTCTCTGCTCCTTTTTTTCTGTTTTTACATTTTTTCAACAGCATGTATTGGAAAAGAACATTCAATCACACATATCTAAAGATTATTTGGGTTTTATATAGTTTTGTCAGGAATTTTGGGAGTTTTAGCCATAATTTAACAAGTCTTCTTTCTGAATTAATCAGTTAAAGTTTTGTTTTTTTGTTTCAACCAACAGAAACAGGATGTGTGTGGGAATCTGACGTTGCAGCACCACATGTTAGAGCCAGTCCAAAGGATTCCTCGCTATGAGCTCTTGCTCAAAGACTACCTGAAGAAGTTGCCCAATGATGCTCTCGACAGAAAAGATGCTGAAAGTGAGTTGCCGGGTTTCAGGGGGTTGGGAAGCTCATCATGTAACCGGAAGGTTACCGGTTCGATCCCCTGCTCTGTCTGTCTTGGTCGTTGTGTCCCTGGGCAAGACACTTAACCTACCGAGGCTGGTTTGGCCAGAGGGCCCGATATGGCAGCCTCGCTTCTGTCAGTCTGCTCCAGGGCAGCTGTGGCTACAACTGTAGCTTGCCTCCATCAGTGTGTGAATGTGAGAGTGAATGAATAGTGGAATTGTAAAGCGCTTTGAGGGTCTCAAAAAGCACTGTATAAATGCAAACCATTATTATTGCTGCTGACTCGCACGTTTACGCTTCACGACTGACACTCCAGGTCACAGAGAAATCCAACCAGCTGTGTCTTTGCTTTCCTCAGTGATCTAAAGCTTCACGTAAATCACATTTTAAAGATGCGCTTGTTGTATGAAATACGCCACCCATTGATGAGTATTCAGCTCAAGGCAGACACAGTTTAACTTTACTCAGAAATATGGATTCAGAACAGAAGAATAAATAAATAACACAAGAAAGTACCGTTCAGCTAAAGCCCATGAAATCATTAAAGGTCACTAGGGAAAAAAAACTAAAAGAACACGAGCAGATTAAACAAAAAAGTGCAGATAAAGCAAAAATATGTCCTGTCCAGTTCATACAGCAGTGAACACTTGGGAGTTATTCGACTCCATAACTGTACAAGGACAGGAGGGAAGGTGAGAGGAACTGGCCAGTATCTGTTTTCACAGCAAATGTCTTCTTTTCCCTCGACTGTCGACTGCACAAACTGCAAAACCACTCGACTGATCAAAAGGAGCCAAAATTCACTTCACCTTGTGGTAAATGTGAAAACAAGCTGTTTGAGACCACGGGCGCTCTGAAGACATCCCTCTGTGTTTTTCTAGTTTTACTCTGCGCAGCTAAAACCCACTTATGGCGCAGAATGAATATCTTAGTGTTATCACAGTTTTAGAATTATGAAGTGTTGCACTTAATTTCCGTCATATTGAACTCTATTACGTTGCATATGCAGTGTTAGATTAGGATAAAACTATGGAGGGGGTTTTTTGCTATAATTTATCAACACTGTGATGATTTGTACACTTTAAGTGTTTGATGGTCTTCTGAGATGATCGGTCCTTGTACAAAATAACCAGATCTTATATGATGACAATCATTAGAATAACTAGTTAAATGAATGTGTTATGAAGCTAAAGGTAGGACATAGGCCTCCTACGTCTCTGCATAGATGTTAGTATGATACCACAATACTTCACAAAGGTCAGAGTGCTCCTCATGCTGTTTCAACTACAGCCTGGCAGAAACCGATTACATATATTACATTATCTCATGTCCTCCTACATCCCTGTATCCATTTACCTAATCCCTAACGTCACCACACGGCGTTGTTTGGAGTCTGTGGAAAGGTTTCTCTCATCCTCTCCAGCTGAACAGCAATTTATCACAGTTGTTTTGGCCTCATTTCCCCCGCCTGTGTGTCTCTTCTGTTTATGTAAGTTATGATTAAGATGGCTGACTCAGGTACTCGCAGGCATTAGTACTAGACTCTTGACTGGCTGGAAGCCAGCCTAGAACACACTGTGTGGTTAATGTTAAGAGTATGTGTCTTTTTAAGTTGGTAGTACTGGAACAGCCGCGCAATTGTGTTTGTTAGAGATTTATATCAGAGTTTCTGATAGTCTTAGCTTATTAATAAGATGATTTGTTTTTATTAATTCTTGTTACTCACGTATGTGTATTACAGAAGCACTGGAGCTCATTTCTACCGCAGCTAACCACTCCAATGCAGCAATCAGGAAAATGGTAAGGCTTTGCTCGATGCTCTGAGTCATTCTTTTATTTTTATGTTTTTGCTATCTTCTCTTCTATGCATCAACTCTTTCCAGTACTCTACCACTTGGCTGATTAGGAACTAGATAATGTGTTGCCCAATAAGAGAGTAGCTGATGTGGTACAGTCAGTCAGCAGCATTGCATTGGTACAGACAGGAAGCTGCTGTTTCCTGCCTTCTTGTTCATAGCTCGCGGAAGTCTGACTGACTTTTTTAACACCCAACCTCCTCGTATTTTTCCTCTGTCTTGTCGTGATGTCTTTCATGTTCTTTAAACAGCTCAAGCAGACACATGCATCTGTGAATCAATAAAGAATTGTAATATATACTTTCCACCTTGCTGAAAAAGAATGAGTAAGAACTGTATGTGATAACAATATATTACCCTTTAAATGTTTGTGCTAGAGCTCCATCTATCCTCTCGCTGTCGAGTATCTTCTCAGCTTTTCTGCTTCCTCCTGTTGCTCTGTGTTTTTAGGAAAAGATGCACAAACTGTTGGAGGTTTATGAGAGGCTTGGAGGAGAGGAGGACATAGTTAACCCAGCCAATGAGCTCATAAAAGAAGGACATATCAAGAAGATGTCAGCCAAAAACGGGACCGCGCAAGACCGATACCTCTATTTGGTGAGATCCCTGTTAAGTTTGACAAATATCAAATAAAGGAAGATTTTTATTTGATCTGTCCTCTTCATCAACTTCATTATTTCTGTCTCTGATCTAGTTCAACAATATGGTGCTATACTGTGTGCCTAAACTCCGACTTATGGGGCAGAAGTTCAGTGTCAGAGAGAGGATTGACATTGCTGGCATGGAGGTATAATGTTGCTTTTCAGCCTATTCTCTAGCTTTTGTTTTTTTTCTCCCGTGACTGTTCACTTGTTGCACCAACTGCAAGTGGCATTCTTCTGCTTTTTGACCCCAGGTGCAGGAGAATGTGAAGCAGAACCTTCCTCACACGTTTGCCATCATCGGTAAGCGACGTTCGCTGGAGCTGCAAGCCAGGTAAATATATGCGAAACAGCCTCAGAGCCACATAATATTAAACAAAAATGAAGATGTTATTCTGTAAATAAAGCACTTCATATGGTTTTAGAATGCAAAACTGTGTTATTATTACTTACAGGAGTAACAAGTCTCAAAAATATAATCTTTCAACCAATCAAAATCAATAGCTGCTGATGTTAAAGGAAAAATCCAGTGTTTTTAGCCTAGGCACCATTTTCTCCTCTATTGGGATTTAAATTGTTAATAAATACAAAAAAGTCTGGAACGGATCAAATGTTGAACAAGAATGTTACAACCATCAACCGCAAAATGGATCAAATGTAATCCCATCGCAGTTGTCCATTTCAGAATGGTACACTGTGATTTTGTTGTTATTCAGTCATTTCACTTAAGCAGAATTACTTAAACCAATAATGTCATCCACTCTGTCTGCAGCAGTTCTTGTCCGACTTCAAAGTGCACTTTTATCGATGTATGATTTCTTCTCCTATTTGATTAATAGTCATCCTGATCAAAATGGTTTTTATGGCCCAAAAAGGTTTTTATTATCATCCATATGTAGCAAAAAAGGCACAACATAAGCACACCACTGTCCCCATAGGTTTGTTTCTGAAAACCTTGCAGGGATTGTATTGCAATTGGATAACCAGAAACTAGCTTGCAGTTACCTAGCCTTTTGATAACTGATCTTTTTGTAGGCTAAACTCAGACTTTTGAGACATATACATGTTAAATACACATCTTTCTCTGCTGGGATCATTTGCATACTGTTTTAGTCACTTATCTAACCCTATCAGTGGGTTAGGCTTACATACCAGCATTTACCTTTAACACTTTTCTTTGATTTTGAAGAAAAACAACAGACTTAGCTGGTTAGCTTGTGGCCAGCTAACTCTGACTGCTAACTTATCATTAGCCTTAATGTGACTGTAACTAAAATAATTTGTATTTTTCTTTACAAGTATTTAAATTAGCCAGTGAACAAAACTCTTTTAGGAACTTAGCTTATTATTATTTAATGCCCTATTTACTTGTTATTTTCTCATGTTTCCACTCTTTGGGGCTCTGTGTGCACAATGAATTGCGCTTATTTGTGAATATTTATTCAGTCATTGTGATGGCCTGAATTTTCTAGTCGGGTGAAATCATCGAATCATATTTTGCTTTAACTTTACAGGACGGCTGAGGAGAAGGAAGACTGGATTCAGGTAAATTTCACCCACTTGAAGTAGAACACTTGCATGCATATGAAACTGTCTGTGCCTCTCATGTGCATGCAGCATTTTTGGTCTGTGCCTTTGGTCGTTGTGTTTTATTAAAGAAGAATTAGAAGAGATTTCCTCTACAAACTCATGCAGTGTTTGGGAATTATGTTCTCTAATAAAGCCCCTCATTATTGCTCATTTAGCCTATTACAGCAGAGTAAAGCTGATTAATACATCTTGCAGGCTGTAACAGGGAATGGGCAACTGGAGAAACTGCAGAGGGTTTTTTTTTCAGTATGTGAAGATTAAGGAGGGGCTTTGGTACCACTCCAAAAGTTTACAGACAGTGGAAAGCAAAAAGAAGCAAAGGTTTTCGCACACTACTAGCCAACTAGTTATCTTGAGACTCCAGCATTAGGACCGTGATACTTTTTAAGCTCTGATGTCATTGCCGCTGTCACTTGTTTGAAGCACAGTCAGGGTAGTCAGCATACCACACATGCTTTCTTTGTTCTTCAGTTAGGCAGGAGAAAGAAAGACGGCTTTCCTCCTTCCCTCTTTCAACTCATAATTATTCCTCCTCTTTCCTGTAAATCTCTTCTGACTCTCAGGTTATCCAGGCCACGATTGAACGACACAAACAAAACAGCAAGACGTTCAAAGCCTTCAACAGCTCCTTCTCCCGGGAAGACGACCATGTGCCGGAGTCACCGGTCAGTCTCACTCCGCCTTCATCAGGCACTTCATTGATCAGTCAGTCGGTTGGTCATCCTTGGCAATGAATCATGGGAGACTAGTGGTACACCAAACAAGCTTGTCATAGTCTGGCCTTTGTCTGCCTGAATAGCTCTCCTTCTATGGATGTGGTAGTATCATACAGACAATACGCTCACTTAACCTTCCTGTCATGTTCGGGTACATACAGCTCTCGCCATTTCCGCGTGTAGAGTCTGCAAGTCTCCTCTCACAGAGCTCTCTCATGACCTAATAGGGAAAGCCCAACTCAAAGTATATACAAAACTATCATAGATGTGCTTTGACCCACTTTGAGTTGGCCTTAGCTGGACCCAAGCCAAATGTAGTGACACGAGCCAGAGGACCAGATTCAGAAGGTCCAGACTGACACCTAGTGGTAGAGATGGCTGACTGCAAGGTTAAACTACTGTTGCTCACTGTACATGTCCTCCTCCTCAGGGTTTCTGGTCGAACACATCCATCGACTCTGATGGCGAAAGACTACAAGAAAGGGTAAGATGCTCTTACAGAAAAGTAACACAGTCCTGATCCCTCTATGAGCTCCTGAGTGTGCTGCATAGCTCATTCCTATAAGAAGCCAGAGAGTAGCCTCTTATTCAGGACATTGTCGATGGTTGTCTAGTGAATGCAAAAGGGAGTGAGACTGACTTTGGGCAGACTCCAAGAGGATGAGTCAAACAAAGTCAAACACTAGTTCCAGTGAACAATGTTTTTTTGTAGTTTTTAGAGTAAAACTACATTTCCAAAAAGGCAACAAGCGCCTCTGAGCTTTAGTAAATTCATGTTTACTAAAAGGGAAAATTAGTCGAAGAATGTCCTTAAAGAAATGCTGTTAGATATAACAATAGTCTCGTTAGCTGTGTTTGTTTTTCAAAGTGTTTTTTGTTATGCTAAAGCATACATTACAGTTAGGCTGAGCAAATGTGATGATGCTAATCTCAAAAATCAAAAGTTTTTCTGTTATCTATACAAACAGGGAGAGATTTATTTTACTCCTCATCCCACATATGTAGTATCTATAACAACAATCTGTGTGGATATTTTCGTGTGTCTGAGTGGGTGTATGCCCCCTATCTTTGTTAATAGAAGGGAGAAAAGGGAGACAGAAAGCCAAACAAACACGGGATGTAGCAGGACAAGCTGTCAGACATTCCTTTTGCTTCGCCTGTGCTGAAACTGAGCAGGCTGAAGGCCTTTACACACAATCCTTTTTTTTCCAGAAGAGTTCCAAGAAAAAGGAGAAGGAGAAGCAGACATGTAAAGGCTGCAGCGAGAGCTTCAATTTCACCAAGCGCAAACATCACTGCAAGTCCTGCGGAGCGGTGAGCACAGATGGAACGAGACAAATTTGGGCGTTGTTTTTGGTGGGATGGAGAGAAAAGTGGTGGAACAAGTGGAAATTTTAGACAAATAACTGTCTGCTGTTCGCTCTCTGTCCTTCTGCAGGCCATCTGTGCAAAGTGTTCAAAGATGGACAACAAAACGAGCCGAGTGTGTCCTGAATGTTTCGAAGCCAGCCTCAGCATAGAGAACCTTGGTACTGGTGAACACAGAAGAAAAACTGCACCTGAGGTTAGAACAAAAAAATACAGACACACACACATAATGAATAATAGTTTTTTTGCTGCATTGGCTCATGCCAATAGGTTATTGCTCAGTGTTGGCAGGAGCCACACTGTGCTGCTGGCAACAAAGAGTAGAAAGCGCTGCAGTGCCTTTTTACTCCTGTACTGTCGTCTTTAAGTTACTGTGCTGTATGCACACACCGCTACACACGTTGCACACATACACGTACATGTGCAAAGACATTCACACTGAAAGATCAGCTAATCCCTTTTTGATGACTAATATGATAATGAGATCTCGGCTTAAGGCGAATCTGTCGTGTCTGCTGACTCCGCAGTCTGGCGGCTTCAGGTGTCTGTATCCCTGTCCCGCTGTCCGTCTGTGGATAGATGTACAGTCGGATGGAGTATTTGCACCTTAAAGCTGACAGGACATTAACCACTTATAGCGATGACGAAACTGTGAAACAGTATTGTGATTCAGGTTCATTCCCTCTCATGTCTCTTTTGAAGGATCCCAGTGGGGAATCATCTGTAGTGAGATTAGTCACCACATGAGGGAGCTGTAGGCTGTACAAAGGTTAGACAAGGGGCAGTAGAAGCTTTAACACCTGTCCCTGTACAAATCTCACTGTGTCCTACATTGCTGTTACATAAGGATGAACAGTAGAAGAACTACACTGTCATTCCTCATCAGATTAAGTGTCCAAAATATAATAAATACGTCTTTTACACGTGTTTTTTAAAGCGCATCTTTTTCTGTTTAGTTCAATAATTAGCTCAGTAGTAAAATGAGGAAGTCCTTGATGATTGGTCTCGTGTGTGTTTCAGAGACAGGTTTCTCTAACGGCAGAGAACTGCCTGCTGTGTGGCCACCTCCAAGTACAGGAGAAAGGGAAGAGCTGGATGAAAATGTGGGTTGCTGTGACCAAGGCTGAGCCACTGGTGCTGTACTTACAAAGCAGCGGACAGGTAGGAGTTGGATACATTCAACATGCTTTGAATCATAAAAAAATATTTGATGAACTTTTCTTTTTCCCCTCGTTAGAAATAATTTTGCACATTTTTCATAGATAGGCATCGTATAAATAGAGGACAGTAAATTGCAAAAGTTCAGCTACATAGACACATAACCTGAGTGCTTTAGTCACGTCCTATATATCTGCTAATCCTCCTGCTACGCCCATCTGGCTATATATCCTGTCTCCTTCCTCGGATTGGAGCGGGACATCTGCAGAGTGTAGCACCAGGATATATCACTGACTGTGTGCAAGTCAAATCTGTCCAATCCTGCATGTGCCAGGCTGTCCCTGTCACTGTCTGTGCTGTGTAGATTTGGGCCAGGGGATTTGGTTATCCTGAATCTGACCTCAGGTATAACTGCTGTCAGATGTGCAAGTGGGTGTTAGTTGGCGCTGAGCAGATGAAGTCTCTCAGCTCTCAGAGTTGCTGCAGTTCCTTGAAATCTTGGCTGTGGGTGGAGCAATAAATCTCCTTATAACATCCCAATGAGATGTGTAAAACAAGTGGTGTACATGACTGCTTTGAAAAAGATTACCCAAGCATTCTATCTCTGTACACATCATCCATGTCCATATATTTATATATTGTTTAAAAATAATTAACTGAGAGAATTCAGTTCAGATGTTAAATTTTTTTTTAAAGTTTAAGGATTTGCTGTAAAATGTTATTTTTTTGTCATTCATAATGGCAGAGAAGGAGTCAGCCTGTTAAAGCCTTCCAGGGTTTCATTTCCAAGACTAATATCCCAATCTGACCGCAGAAAGCGGCCATTCCAAAGATTAGGATTAATAGGAGTTGGATGAGCATTTCCTGATTATACAGAAAGAAAAAGGGGGAAGGGAGAGAGGAGGGCTGGGTTTACTGTACATGCCTGTTGGAAAATTTTACAGCTGAAGAGACAAGCTGTCATTTTCATTATTTCTAGTATGGTTCGCTTACCTCAAAGGAAGGCTTGCCTAAGAGAAACCAACTTTGAAATACAATTTTTCTCTGACTGACATGTTTTATATTCATTTTTTACGATTTTTTTGCAGGACTCAAAGGGGTCGCGGCCAGTACCTCTCCCTGGGTTTGAGGTGAGCCCAGCACCTTCTGCAGCTGCTGAGAAAACGGAGGTCAAACACATAATCCGGCTCAGCAACACTCAGCAAACTTTGCTCTTAAGTGCCCAAGATGAAGAACTTCAGGCCAAGTGGGTGGACTTCCTCTCCAAAGCTGCCCGTGGAGAAGCTTCCGCTGAGGCATCGACGAGCCTGACTGAACACAGGAAGAGCCAGTAGTGGACACGTTGGAGACACGGGACTCCCCAACCCTCCTTCCTCCCTCTCCTGTGTATAGAGCACACATTACTTGAAATCACTTTACCTTGGCACTTTTTTATTTTTCCTTATTTTTTTTCTTTATAAAGACCACTGAGTCCTTTGCCACTTCAAACTTATCTTTCTTACCCCACAGCTACTTTTTTTTCCCTCTCTCCATCCTTATGTATTTCCCAAACACGCACCCACACACAAGTAAGGACTATCCTACCAAGCAACCAATGCCACTGGTTAGTACATGTTATTTCTCAGTGTTTTTAACAGCTTTGAAGAACCTTGATTTGTAATATAGCTGAAAAAAACATGTTTTTTTTAAAGATGAAGTTCCTTGTATATCATTCAATAGTGTTGTGAAGCATTAACATTTATACCTCTGTCTTTCCATTTGTGCGGACGTGTGTGTGTGTGTGTGTATGTATGTATGTATGTATGCGTGTCTTTGAGCGTGAGTCCCTTCCGGTGTTTATTAAGTATTGAATGTTAGTGTAAGGACCCATGTCACCTCTCTATTGTCTCCAGCAGTGGTGGGTTATTGGGTATTGTACAATATGTATACTATAGTGTGATGTAAGGAAAAAAAAGAAAAAAATAGACATTTTAACTTAAAAGGCACAGAAATGTGTACATTTGTGGCTGGCCACCTGATGCTCCCACTGTCTTACAGACCCTTTCGTCTCTTATGCATTGGTAAAATTCCCTCTCCGTCATTATCGTGGGACTCTGTGACCTTTAATCTCATCCTGAGTGACCACATTTCACTTCTCTTATCTTCGTGACTCGTCTAGATGAAAGAGTAGTTACAGGGCTTCAGTTCTGACACTGTGCTGCAGGTTCAGTGTCTCAATAACTCCACTTGTACACGTACTAAATAAACCCTTTATGTGTAGGTCTCTCTTTCTCAACACTGCAACCATTTGCCTGCTTCTCTCCCTTTTTGGTGATGTGATGAAAACCAAGTACTGTACTGTAAAACTGTTTCTTCTGCCTTGTCCCCCGTACCCCGCTCCTATCAGCACCAGCCTTTAAGCAAAAGTAGCAAAAAAAAAAAAAAAAGCAACATCGGATCTCTTTCTGCATGTAAACTCACTCATATTTATGTACCTTGCTATGAAATCTTGCCCTTGCCCCTCTTTTTATGCTCCAGAATTTGTTCTTGTAGTACTGTAAGTAAGCAGAGTCAGCATTGAGTGTTTTAAAAACATGGTTTGTGCACAGTGGAAAAGCATCATCAATAAACAGACGTGGTTAATTCAGTACCACACTGTCCAGTAAGATATTAATGTCCTGAGTATTGTGTTATTTCTTTTCTAAAATGGGGGGGAAAAAAAACATATATGAAAAACATATGTTTACAAATGTTACCAATCACACACGAATATCACACAAAATACTGCTAGCACATACACTTTCTGGCCACTTTATTGTGTACTCTGTTTAAGTGGTTGTTAACACAAATGTCTGTCAGCCAATTACATGTGAGCAACTCAATGCACTGATTTAAGTAGAAATGGTCTAGATAATCTGCTGAAGTTCAACCTGGTTTAATCTGATTTTGAACGTGGTGTGATTGCTGGTCCCAGATGGGCTGGTCAATGTAGGAACTGCTGATCTCCTGGGATCTTTGTTTTTCTACAAAACTGTCTCTAAGGTTTACAGAGAATGGTCCAAAACAAAAGAGACAATATCTAGTCAGCTGCAGTTCTCTGAGGAAAAAAGCCCTCGTGATGCTAGAAGGCAAAAGAAAATGTCCAGACAGAAGCTGAAAGGAAACCAATAGTAACTCAGATAACCACTTGTTACAACCAAGATATACAGAAGAGCATCTCTGAAGGCGCAACACCTTGAACCTTTGGCTGCTTGGGCTACAGCGGCAGAGGACCAGACTGGGTGCCACTCCTCTCAGATAAGTAATAAGAAAGAGAAACTAAGGCTACAGTTTGCATGGGGTCACCAAAATTGGAAAGTAAAAGACTGTAACCACTTCTAGTATGATGAGTCGTGATTACGACTGCAACATTTGGACGGTAAGGGTCAGAATTTGGTGTAAAAAAACCATGAAAGCATGAATCTATCCCGTCTTTTTTCAAAGATGCTGCAGATTATGCTGCTAGTGATGCTGTAATGGAGTGGAAGTTCTTTTCTTGCTACACTTTGGGCCCCTTAGTACAAATTTGGCATTATTTAAACACCACAGCCTACTTCTCCATGTCCATTCCTTTATAACCACAGCGTATTCATCTTGTTATAACTGCTTCCAACAAGATCTCAAAATAATCTCAAACTGTCAGTGAGCTCACTGTATTTAACTAGCCTCCAGAGCCACCATGTAAGTCCTGTAGGGTACCTCTGGGATGTGGTGGGACAGGAGATTTACATACACATCATAGATGTGGATCAACTGTGTGGTGCTATCATGTCAATATGGCCCAAGATCTCAGAGCAATGTTTTTAGCACCTTGATGAAAGACTTTAGGATTTCTAGTGGCAAAGAGAGCTCCAACCAAGTATTAACCCTTACAGTCTTACAGTTCTGACATTTCATCGAAATGTCAAATGCTATAGGATTTATCTGGAACACAGATTAAACATACAGATTGAATATCTCAGTAATCCATGACCAGATTACTGAGCTATTCAAACTATGATTTGATTGGATTTCTTTTTCTGCTTTAGAAGCAAAGAACAGATTAGCTTTTTGTGTGTGTGAATGCATTTTTGCTTTTGAATTAGAAACGCATCGAAGATCATGCCAGGATACCCGAAGCACTTTACTTTCCTTCAAAGTTAATGTTTCAGGCTTTTCAACCTCCCCCTTTACTTTTTTCATGCTTTATAGTGATTGCTTTGAATTTCCTTGTTGGCACAGAGTTATTGTGAGCGTTTCCATTTGGATTCAGACTGTTAAACAAGACACATCTCTGTCATTTGGTGGAACAAAAGCCTCTATCCACATGAATTCAAGCACACCACATAAAAACCCCAGTTTGCCTGCTGTGTGCAGTAATATACTCAGTTGTCAGCATGATAACAGCACTTAAATTCTCTTTACTGTAGCATCTTCTCACTTTGGAAAGCTATCCAAGTACCTTAGAGTCATCTTATTACTTTTGTTTCAAATTGATAGAAAAAAAATAAAAGATCCACAGACAAGTAGACTGCACTTTTTTGCCCACAAGTGCCGCCTGCTTGTATCAGTTGGCAAGTTTAGTAGCCAGAACTACCTTAATCTTTCAAAAGGATCTGAAAACATTCCTCAGATGTCTGCGTATCGTGTTCTATTGCATCCCAAAGGATCAACGTTTGATTGAAATCTGGTGAACATCGAGGCCATTTGAGTCCAGTGAACTCATTGTCATGTTCACGAATCAGCTTTGCGACGATTTGAGCTGGCGCATTATACTGCTGCAAGATCTGAAGATGGATACACTGTGGTAATTATGGGATGAACATGGTCTGCAACAAAACCCAGGTAGGCTGTGGCATTTAAATAATCCTCATTTGGCACTAAAGGGCCCAAAGTGTGCCAAGAACATATTCCCACCCACAGCCTGAACTGATGCTATACAAAGCCAGATGGACCTATGGTTTAATGTTGTTTATACCAAATTCTGACAGCAGAAATTAAAAATCATCAGACTCATCAGATCAGGCAATATTTTCCCAGTCTACTATTGTCTAATTTTTCTGTTCTTTTCTGCATTCAGAGATGACCTTCTGCACACCTTGGTTGTAATGAATGGTTATCTGGGTTACTGCTGCCTTCCAATCATTCTCTTCTGAACTCTAGCATCAACAAGACAATCAGGGAACTCTGTAAACTCTTCAGATGGTTGTGTGGGATTAACCCACACAGATCTGCGGTCTCTCAATACTCAGATATGCTTGTTTTGCATTCAGGTTCACTTCATTTAGAGCAGAAACAACAACATGAGTGACCTTGAAGAGACATAAGCTGCACACATTTGTGCATGTGGCACAAATGATTCAAGTTATTTCAAATAATACCATGTACCTTTTCCTACTTCAGACAGGTGAGCTGTCACAGTGCAAGTTACAGTTTACAAGCTCAAGTCATTTCTTTGATCTTTTATTGCTCCACCACAGCTGTTGGGATTTTTTTTTAACTGTTTCCAAATTCTGATCCCTTTAATTTTATGTCACGTCTGAGTTTTTAATAGCAGGTATTTTTTGTCATTTGCAGCTGTGAGATTATTGTGTCTGGTTATGTCCTTGTAACTATGCATAAGGTGTGCCCTCTCTAATAATTATAGTAATAACAAAAATATAACCTAGAAGCAAAAGATAAAACGATTTATTTTGCTGCAAGTTGGTGTAGATCAGTTAAACGTGTACAGAGTGATCATTGTTTGAGTATCAGCACACAGATTATTGTCATTTATCTGGTTTAATGGTTGACTTCGCTCTTAATAAGAAGTATGCAGGGAGTTAGAACTTTTCAGCATCTGCAAATTATACTTTTTCTGTTTGTTTATGTCTGCCTCAAAAGTGCAAAGAGCAAAATCAAAGGGATATGGGAAAATCTAACTTTCTGAAAGAGCGGGGTGCTTCGACTGCATGTGATTTCAACTCTCAGATGTGTGTGTGTGTGTGTGTGTGTGTGTGTGTGTGTGTGTGTGTGTGTGTGTGTGTGTGTGTGTGTGTGTGTGAATGCGAGCATCACTCCCTAATCCT